GTTGATGATCGGGAATTGATAGAAAGTGGGAAGAATGATCATCATTAGGCAAAAAAAAAAAATGAATTGAAGGGGTCTCTGGCCTACATCTTGGGCAGAAGCTGTGTACTATCTGAGGTCATCATAGGCTCTGAAGGTCATAAGCCATCTATCTACTTTGAAAATCAGCTGCTTCCAGAGAGTCTCAGAGAATCCTTAGTTTGATGTTCTCTATTAGAGTAGGTTCTAACTTTTGTTGATTCAGATCACTTAGTTGTGAAATGGGATTTACCCCAGGGAGTTTTACTTCACTGTTGTTAACAATATTTCCACTGGGGTTCAAAAACAGTTTTGTTCCTCATGTATCCTGTAATAGATGAAATCTTTTGGTTGGATATCAAGAAGAGCCTGTTAAGATGTTTTGGGAATATAACCTTAACATGTTGGCAGTAGGAATGGGTATAATACATGAACCCTTTTCACTATGTTGCCATGGTCATGTATACAGGGAAGTGTATAGTAATGTAGCTAAAAATTGAAATGCATAGCTCCTTCGTTACCAATTCATAAGGAAATAAACAAGAGTCCCAAAGAGTGTAGACCATACTGATATAAGAGCAAGTAGGAGTGCCTTTGACTAAGGAAGCTCAAGCATTTCTAAAAGTTTTATTAATTTTTATTTCAAAGATATCATTGAGTCTTTCCACCTTTCCAGAAGAATGTAGGTGGTAAGGGCAGTATGGTTTCTAAGTATGAGAGCATGTTCTTTGATACTTCTTGTGAAAGTTTGTATTGGCCTCTTGATGTAAAATTTGTATTCCCCAGCCTGGAAATATAAAATCAGTCAATTATTTAGACACTGTAACGACTACAGCTTTTGGGCAAGGAGATATTTCAACCATCCTGATATCAGACATAATAACTAAAACATATCAAATTCCATCCCTCAAAGAATGAGAACTGTATAAATTCATTGGATGGTACTGTGTTTCTGTTCTCACGACTAAAAGGCTCAGGGGTCACTCCAGTTGAACTGGGCTAACTGGGTTGTGCAAAATAACCACACAAGAGACACAGATACCTTTTTCTTTGGGGTCACTGTGACGGCTCCTCTGACCTTAAGGGTCCGCAGGAAGGGAGAGGGCGAGAGCACGCACTGACCCCGTTTATTGAGGAGAAGTTATTTAAATGAGGCAAGGGGTCAGGTTTCAGGGGGCTGAGTCTATCTTCATGATGTCCACTGTCAGAAGTGGGTAGGCCACACTTACCTGGGTAGGCCACACCCAAGGACACAGTAAGAGAAGGGGATACACACAAGGCACTTCCATGGAAGATTCTATCCTAAACAGGGCAAGGGGTTATATTACAAAGGAACAGGTGAGCATAGCTTCACCCATGGGGCTGTAGCAAGACACACCCATGCAGGAGACACCGACCCTAGAACCCAAGAAGGGTGGGGAAAGCTCTGCCACATTTCTGTGACTGAGCGCCTCAGCACCCAGCCAGGGAGTGTGACTCAGTCACTTGTAAGGTTGGTCTCCCACAGGATGGTGTTCAAAAGGCCCTTGAAACTTTGGTTCCTGATCATATTCCACCTTTATAGTAATTTAGGAATGATGCTGTTGATGAGTGACATGTGACTCAAAATGACCTCGCCTTTCTTTTTAAAGTTTCTCTAGACATGTTAACATAAGGATGTAAACAATTTATTTGTACCATGATAAGTAATTTCCTAGAGAAATTTGCCTAGCATGCATTTGAAACCATATGGTGCCACCAAGACCAGCAGAGATTATCTGAGAAAGGCTAGAACCATAATGTGTCTATCTAGTTTTTCTTTCTTCTTTTCTTCCTTTCTCTCTCTCCGTCCCTCTCTGTCTCCCTCCCTCTCTTTCTTTCTTCTTTCTTTTTCTATTATTAAAATATCATAATTATACATAATAGTTGGGTTCATTTTGAAAAAAATCATACATCCAGTGAATTTTATTTTAATCCCCATTCCCCCTACCTATTGCTCCCAAGGTGAAATTTCCTTTGGTGCATTCATATATGCATGTAGCGTGATTTTGTTAAATTATTCCATATTTCTTCACCTTTCCCATCCTCCTTCCCTCCCTCATGTTCTCTTGCTTCTACTCCATTGATCTTCCCTATATATCTATGATATCTGATCCCTGCCCTCTCACCCATCACCTTCTTTCTTTTACTTTGCTCCAGCTTCCACATATGAGAGAAAATGTTCAACCTATGATTTTCTGAGTCTGGCTGATTTCACTTAGCATGATGTAGAAGCATAGGTTTTTCATTGTGAATTTGACACACTGTGGTTCTAGCCTCACTCAGTTTTTCATTGTTCTTTCCATAATCATGAATTAAATGTTGGTATTTGATAACATTGTTTTTTAATTGCTCCAGGAATTTATCTTTCAAAAATTGAGATAGGATCATAACTTTAGTGAAGGCTGCTTATTTGGCAAAATGATCTGGTATAACGTTTTCTTTAACATCATATTATTTCTTTCTCATGAGTCTCACTCTTTATAACAGTGACCACTTTATAAGTAGGACTATATCTAAAATTGTTTTATATAAATTGTCTAATTCTAAATGGAGGTTCCAACAGAGTTTAAAAAAGCTTTTGCTTCTACAGCATCCCAAAGTTATACTTAAGAAGAAAAGTAGGCCTTGCATGTATTTAGTCTGAGGTCTTTCATCAATCAATAAGCTCAAGCAAGTGCAATAGTTCTGCCATCTGTACTGAATTTACTTCACATGGAGGACTCTATTCTTCAAGTAAACTTAAGTTAGTGATGGTGCAGGGAATTCCCCTCACCGCTCTCACCACTCACTGAAATGAACTGACAATAGGCGGAATAGCAGGAGAAAAAGCACACAGACATATTAATGTGCACAGGAACATCAAGGAATGGTGATTACCCACTAACCCACTGATATGCAGAAATTTATGTACCTTCTTCATAGGAGAGAGAGAAATGAGAATTTGTAGGCAAATCTGAGGGGGTAATAAGTGAGTTTTTAGGAGAGTTGAATGAGCTTAAAGAATATACAAGGGCTGCGACAAATGTCCTCTGGATTCCAGGTATGGTGTTTGATGAACCTTTCCTGAGGTTAATCTTTCCTGGATAATGAGATTTTGCAAAAATTGTGTTCTCTGGAGGAAGAGGATTTCCATTGGTCAAATAAGGGAACTTCAAGGAAGGCTTCCCCTGAACTTCATTAGAGAGCAGGGATCAAGGATGATCAAGAGATAGAGGGGGTAGAGGGGGCTAGAGAGATCTTAGGTCTGAGATGGTTTTTTCAGTTCAGCATGTCAAAATACCACACTTTGGGGTATCATTTTCTGAACCCTAATAGTAGCACACTCTACTTAGTAACCTCCAGTTTCAAATGTTAAAGTATGATCCAAGAACAAATAATTTTGGGTCAAGGTTTTCCTTAGGAATCCTTAAAAAAGGGGGGTGGGGTGGGGTGGGGTGAAGTATAGAAAGTTCTTTAACTGATGTAAGAAAATCATGAACTTTCATTTTCATGGAAGGGACTGGAAATTGACATAAATTACGGTATTACAGTGGTGAACAGTAAGTAAGGAGAGACTCACAGTGTGTCATGAGAGGTTCATTGCTGGCTAGAAAGTATTGTGTGTTCTCAGGCAGTAGTTTTATCTGTATTGATATACAGATCAGTATGAGATCAGAAAGAGAGCCCATAAGGACTCCAGCAAAAGCACCAAGTTTTGAAATGGCAGCTAGGCTGTTAAACGAGGGACAGTCTTTGCAATCAGGTCAAAGTGATGAGCTTTTGATAACTTCCCTGAAGCTAAATTAAAACTCTAAGGGCTTCTCCAGATTGCTTAAGCACAAGAAGACAGAAGAGCTTTCACTTGGGACTGCCTGTTGAGAGGTGCTGTTGACCATCCTGCTTCAGAAGGACTATACATGTTTCAGTCTGAGTTGTCACCATCTCAGGAAGATTTCACACTTGTTGTAATTTTGCAATATCCAGTTAAACCTAGAAATGCTCTGAACTGTTTTATGAGGGGTCTAGGTTGTTTTATACCCTTTATTTTATCACAAGAGAATGATTTGCCTCCTCCTGTAGATTATGCCATTAGTAATGGATTACATTTTGGCAAAATATAATTGATTCTTTGAAACTTTATGTCTTTTCTTTACAAAGGCTAAAAGCAAGTTAATGAAATCCTTTTTGTAAGCTTGTATGTTCTTGGAACAAAGAAGTAGATTATGTACATATTATATGGGAATTGAACCACAAAAGAATTTTAAATCATTTGAGTCTTGATTGAGGACCTGGGAAAAATGGAAGGAGCTTCAGGGACCCTCTGGGGCATGACTATCCAGGTATCTGACTGTCCTCCCCAGGAACAGAGAAAAAATTGACAGCAAAATAATTAGACAGTTTCAGGTAAATCCTGATTGGAGGTTTTTGGATGGAGAAGCTGGAAGCAGGCTAATTGGAAATGAAAGAATTATGTAATTGGTTTTAAAGTATATTTGGCTTTTTCTCTTTGGTCGTGTTGGAAAAAAAGACAACACAAAACAAAAACAAACAAACAAACAAACAAAACAAAAAACAGGCAGCCAGCAGTATTCCAACAAGTCCTGGCCATTGGGGGCATATTGCTGGAGAGGTTCTGGTTGGGCTCCCCTGGATAAAGTTCCAGGGGAGGCTGTGGTTCTGCATTCTATTTTGTGTATGTTCTACCCATTGTCTGTTTGCATTTTCTGTCTCTCACCTTTTTGTGTCTCAGAAATCTTCTCAAATAATTTGTCTCCAACCACATCTAGAAATGATCTGAAAAATAATTGAAGTGTGAGGTTAAGAGTTTTGCAAAGGGGTTATATAAAATAATATCTTGCTTAACAAACTATTGGCTTCTGCCTACAGTTATCTACCTGAGGACAAAAAAAAAAAAAAAATCCTCTTTAATTCTACTAGACTTATTTTTTTTTATTTATCTGTGATTGTTTGTGTTTTTGCAGAGGATCTTGATGATTTAAGAATGGAGGGAGTAACAACCCTGGTACCTTCTGGGAGCAAATTTAACCAAGGCCGACCTACTCATCCTGCTGAGCCCCAGGCCAAGGTCACACTGAATATCTGTTCAAGGTGTGCCAGGTAAAACACATAATAGGTACATAAACTTGATCTTTAAAAATCCAAGATTTTGGTGCAAAGAGTGTGCTCCTCTGTGTTCTGAAAAACTTTTCCTTCTAATTATCTTTTGTGCTAACATTGGCAAGGAAGTTAAGTTTATGCAGTTTACCCTTGTGCCCAATGCCACTCAGACCAACAATGAATCAAAGAGTTTAAATTGTCTTCCCTTCACAGCTTGAGACTATTTTAAGTCTCTCTGTCTCTGAATTTCATTTGCTGTCTGCCCTTCTGTTCCTTTTCAAAGGAAGATTCAAGGGGCTCTGAATGTTCAAAGCCACTTTTAAAGCACCTGCATAAAGAAAGAGTTTGCCCAGGTACAATTTGAGATCTGATATTATTGGCCTTTTAACCTGCCCCTCATCCTGTTCACCTCCTGGAAAGAATTTAATCAGCTTGATGCTTTTCAGTTTGGGCAGCTGGAAGCAATCTTTGCATATACTGTATGTGGCCAAAGAAGTAGCTTCTGGTTACTGCCAAGTCAGCTCCCAGTGCTGGTCTAGCAAAAACTCACCAAATAGCTTGAATTCATTCTTTTGTAGGAACTAAATCTCATTTGCAAAGAGGCTTTTAAGTCTGTTTAAATGATAAAACAAGCCTTCTAACCCTTATGTAAATGGTTCAGATTAGCAAGAACAATGTGCTGGCTGGCCAATTTTATCTCCTTTTCTTTATGTCTAGCTGTTCTATTGTACTTTTTTGAGAGGGGATTAGCTGCTTGGAAATTGGGAGGAGGAAAGTATAGGGAAATCATCTCCTGATTTTTGTAGCTTTTCCTCTTTTGCTTTACCCTTTTGGAATTTTTATTTTAATTGTCATTAGCTTAGAAAAATAAAAAGGAGAGCTCTTAGAAAATCAGGGAATGTTGTTTGTGGTCATTACAAAAGTGCAATAGCATATAGTGAAAACACCACGGGTAACTTTGCTGAAGACTAGGAATATTTAGAAAAATGACTTTTTGAAAAAAAAATAAAGCTGTGAAGAAAACGTGTAATATTTATGTGATAATATTTAAAGCATTCTGAGTGTACAAGGTCATCTATGGAAGAGTTATTTGGCATTTTGTTTTAAACTTTATAGTTTATATGTATAAATGTACATTTGTAATTTGATTGGAGAGGGGATGATACTTGGTCCTTCCTATAACTAACAGAAGATCAGGGCATGGGGTGTTTGCTTTTCCAGAAGGGAATACTTATAGAAAGAATTTTTTATGAATCCATTGAGGATTTGAACCAGGAAAAGATCAAACACACCTTTAACCCTACATTATCATTCAGCTTCCCAATAATAGAATGAAGATTGTAAATCACAACCAACCTGCATTTAAGGTGTTTAGCTGAATTCATTCAAGAAATGTTCATCCAAATAATAATTAGTTATATATACTGTATTCTCACTATATATTACATACAAGTCTAAGTTTTCTAAAAATTAATTTCTATTGTCCCCCTTTTATAGATAAGAAAAATAAAGCATTAGTCGGTTACACAGCTTGTCCAAAGTAACACAACTAGTAAGTAGTAAAACAGTTTCAAAGCCAGGCTGTATTGGTCCACAGGCTGCCTCTAACTCTTTGTTTTGTTGATAAGCATCAACTTTTGTCTGAAGGTGAAGACAGAAGTTCCAAACAGATAAAAACAATAAGATTCAGGTGTTTGAAATGATGGGCATTCAAGATATTGTTTTGTTGGAAAATAAGGCAAAGTCCTTTGAAAAGGAGAAGAAGATATATTGACTCAGAGCAAAGTAGGAAACAGTATAGAAGAAGAGTCTATGCTGTTCATTTTATATGGGCTACTGTTGACAGAGCTTAGAGTAAAAGAAAAACTCATATTGATTGTGAAGAACTATGAAGAATCTGACATGTTAATGTATTTGCAATCTGGTAGCCTGCTGCTGTGTTATACATGTGAGTGGAAGACATGAAATTTCTGGGACAGAGACCAGGGGCTTTTAATTCATAAAATAATAATAATTAGCATAATCACTTGTTTCCTGAGCTGAATTTCTCACAGAGTGGCACAAACAGTGTTGTAGATTGCATTATGTGAGAGGAATCTTGAGTTAGGAAACCTGAATATTTTGCAATAGGCATAGTATGTCCGGCTATCGCTCCAATGGAACCTCCGTATCTATCTTCAAAGGTTGTTAGCTGTACAAACATCCTTGAGCAAATTAAACAAAGACTTTTAATATCTCTCAACATGAAAGAATATGAAGAATTATTTCCCAGTACTACTTAGGGTGGATCACTTTTGTAATGCGTTACTGTCATTATCAATACTTTCCATCTTTAATTCATCATTATCAATTTATGTCAAAAAAATTGCCTCACCTCAACTATTGAAGTTGTAAGCAAGGAATTTAAGACTGCCACATTCATTTTAAGCCAGAGATAAGGATTATCAGAAGCAGAAGTCATAAACTAGAGGACTGTGGTATTGTCCGATTGTTTTGTGTATCCATATAATATTTTAAAGTGTCACTGAATATGTGACTATCTTAGTCCATTTGGGGTCTTATCACAAAAAAATTCATAATTGGGTGGATTATAAATGACAGACATTTATGTCTCACAGTTTGGAGGCTAAGTAGTCTAAGATTAAGGCACTGAGAGTGTCTTCATGCTGCATGGTCACAGAGTGCTGGAGATGGAACCCAGAGTCTCACACAGGCAAAGCATGAAGTGCTTTACCACTGAACTACACCTCCCCCAACCACTGAGGTCTCTTTTATAAAAGCACTAATCCCATTCATGGGGGCTCTACCCTCCTGACCTAAAGAACTTCCAGAGGACCTGCCTCTTAATACCTTCACTTCAGGGGTTATGTTTCAACCCTGAACTTTAGAAGCATGCAAACATTCAGAACATAACAATTATTTACTAATTTCACATATAAAAATGGGATTTCTATCTTTTCTTAAAAATCAGTAGAGCTGATAATACTAGGCCATTTTCTGAAATGATTTCACAGAAGCAGTTTTCCCTTCTAGACCCTGAGGCCAGCAGTCATACTCCACTGTGTCTGAGTTTGTTTGTCCAAGTTTATTTATTTATACTACTTCTATGAATTCTTGAGGTCATCATTTGTAATCTCTAATTTGTAGAAAAGCTGTGTGGGAGATGAAAGACTTTCCTTCCATCATCTGAAGGTTTAATATTTAAGTCTATGGAATAAACTGACAACAGGCAGATGAATGAGAGAAAAGCTATACAAATTAATTATCTGCATCACAGGAAAGAAAAGACCCCAAACTCAGTGAGAATTAGGAACCTAAATTTAGGTACGGGAGAGGAGAAAAGGGGTGTAAAAAACTTAGGGGAGAGGAAATGATTTTTTAGGAAAGAAATATAGATAATTGTTTGTGATAAGGTTTGTCTGCATGTGATTTCTTCTAATGGACTTCTGGAGAGTTTGCAGTATAATTTCTAATGATAAAACTCCCAATTGAGTTCCTTTTGGAGGATCTGTCTTTAGACAGTTATGGGGAGTGCAGAGAAAGCCTTTCATTGCATTTGCTATTTTTCAAATGCTTTTATCTCAAAGTAATCAATATCCACAAATAGCATATTTTTGGGGGTTTTCTTCAGCTGGATTGCCAAAGATATACAGTGAAGAATCAGAAGTGGAAGATTGCAGCTCAAGGAACCTGGCCAGGCTATCTATGAAATGGAGTTAATATATATTGACTTCCAAGGGTGACTTGGAAGGCAGAGCAAGAAACTCTATGCCAATAAAGTTCTCAAGGCCAGGGGTCTCCAGGGACAGGGTTTTCTGGTTTGCCCAATCCACCCTCTCCCTGCTCATCTTTTTGATAGACTCACATTAAAGTGTTAAGATAGTGGGAAAAAAAAGTGATATCAAACCATAGTGAGATGTCACCTCATACCTGTTAGAATGGCTATGATCAAAAAGATGACAATAAATGCTGGAAAGAGTGGAGAAAAGATTAATACAGCCATTATGGAAAAAGCATGAAGGCTCCTCAGAAAGTTAAAAATACAAATACCTTAGTTCAAGCAATTCTGAACATATATTCAAGCGAACTGATATCATTATCGTGAAGAGATATCTGCATGGATCTCTTCTCATTCGGAACCTGATTGGATGATGATCAGTAATGAGGCTGATAGATTATACTGCCATTGATCAAGGGGTTGGAGTCCTACATAACTACTGGAGGTAATTTTACTTTTTAAGACATTAGGAAGAGAAACATTCAGCCCACACTTAATTGCTCAGTAAGTATTATGTACAACAAAGTGATTAAAAGATCAAGTGTACAAAAGTTTGTGGATTTGCAGAGTTACAAGAAATAAAAAGATTGCAGGTTATTTTTTTTTAATAAAGATTTCACACATGGTTGGAAAAGTACAAATGAAAGATAGCATGTGTTTTCAGGCTAGACATTATGCAGAGCAGTGGTATTTGCATATCTCATATCTTGGACAAGTAAAAGAATGCATGGCCAACAGATAAGTGACCACCAAAACAGGTGAAGATTTTACACCAGGTCCAGGCACGGTGGCATGCACTTGTAATCCCAGTGACTCAGGAGTCTGAGGCAAGATGATCCTTAGTGAGGCCAGTTATGGCAACTTAATGAGACCCTGTTTTAAAATAAAATATGGAAAGGTCTGGAGACCTATCTCAATGGTAAAGTGCCCCTGAGTTTAATCCCTTGTACCAAAAAAGAAAAGAAAGATTCTAATCCAGAACATCTCATTTCCCTCCTCAGATCATAAGGAGAGAAGCCACTGTAAATCAATTTGCAGTAAATACAACTTTGTCCATATAGATTATAGCAGTGTCCTTAGGGTGGGTGATGTTACTTGTTATAAGGTAGATTTTTAAGGGAGTCATTGAGTGTTTTAGAAAGTCCACTGGTTCAGTTACAAATCCTTTAATAATATAAGTTTCCTGGTTGCCTAAGAATCACACTAAGTAATATCAACAAAA